AGGTAGATTATTTCCACAGTGTTCCCTCTGTCCATTTGGGAGGTTACCCAGTCAAAAATGAGATTAAATTAGTCTGACAGGATTTATTGTTGATAAATCCATGTTGGCTTTTATTAATCAATGTACTTTCTTCTAGGTGCTTGCAGACTGATTTTTTAATAATTTGTTCCAGAATTTTTCCAGGAATTGATGTCAGGCTAATTGGACTGTAGTTTCCCCGTTTGCCTTTTCTTTTCTTCTTTTTCACATTTCCTGTTTTAGCCTTCCTGACGCCAGCCCTGCAATTCCTTGCTATTTCTTCCTTTGTGGCCTGGCCCTCCTTCCACCATATTCTGTATGTATTCTTTTTTCTTTCAGGCACTTAACTTTTTGTGGAGCCGTGTGAGCTTCCTCTGTTGTCTTCTATACTTTTTTCTTGCTGGAATTGTTTGTAGTTGTACTTGGAGAATATTTTTCCTTTCTTTTTTTCCCAAGATTTCCCACCCCTCTTGGATTCCTTTTCCCTTAATAGTGAGTTGCCATGGTCATGATACTCAAAGGTGACTGGAACACAAAAGAGGGAAACAAAGCAAAATCAAATGTTGTGGAAAAATTTGGCCTAAGGAACATAAATGAAGGAGAAGAATGGATTCTGTGAAGCCAACAATCTGCTTGTCACAAATAGATACTTTAGTCAACTGATCAGACAAATGAATAAATGAATATCACCAGATGGCCAATACAGAAATCAAATAGGTCATGTAACTGGATGTTGCTGATAGAGAGGTTGTATTCCTACTGCCAATACAAGACTAAGAGCAGACAGTGACCATGAACTCTTAATATCAAATATCAGGATAAAAATGAAAAAGATCCCTAACAGAAACATAGTGCCAAAATGGAACTTAAATAACATTCCTGAAGAAGTTAAAGTCCACATAAATAATGGATTTGCATTACTCAACTTAATTAACCACAAGCCAGAAGACTGTGGACTGAAACTAGAGACATTATTAGGAAAGAATGCCAAAGGGGGAAAAAAAGGTCCAGATGATTTGACAGATGAAATTCTCACAGTTGCTAAGGACAAGAGAGAAGCAAAAGCAAAAGGTGACAGAAATCAGAATCTTGAATGCAATTTTTCGGCAAGTATCACACAGAGACATAAAGAACTATTACAATGACAGTGCAAAGAAATATAAGAGAACAACAAAAGAGGAAAAACAAGAGAAAAACAGAAGATCCAAAAAAATCAAAGGGAAATTGAAACCTAGATTAGGAATGCTGAAAGACAACCAGGAGAACATACTATTAGGAGAAAATAAAGAGGAGGTGGAAACAAAACATGGAAGAACTATACATAAGAGATGAAAGAGATGAATCCTTGGAAGAGGATCCCTATGAAGAAGTACCTACAATATCAAAAAATGAACTGAAAGCTGCTCTGAATTGGTCCAAAGCCTTACAAGAGTATGCCAAACAATATGTAAAATAAGGCAATGGCCCACAGACTGGAAATGCTCAGTATGCATTCTAGTCCCCAGGAAAGATGATGCTAATGAGTGCAGCTGCTATAGGACCATTGTACTAATTTCCTATGCAGACAAAGCGAAGCTCAAGATGTTGCAACTTTTTTTTTACCGTATACGAAGCAAGAAATACCTGAGGTTGAAACTGGATTCCAAAACGTAAGAAGTAATCAAGAGCATATCATGAATATACATTTGCTATTAGAATGTAGAATGCTAAGAATTTTAACAGACGATCAGTCTATGCTTTGTAGACTACTGCAAAGCCTTTGCCACGAGAAAGAACGGATGGCCCTGAAAGAAATGGGGGTGACGCAGCATTTTGTTTCCCTGCTGTGTAACCTGCATCATAGACATAATGCTACTGTTAAGAAAGAATGTGGAGAAACAGTCTGGTTCCATTTAGGCAACGTGTCAGACAATGGTGTATTTTATCTGTCTGATCAACCTGTACACAGAACAGAGGAAGGAGTGAAAATTGATAGAAGATACATCAATAATTTAAGATAAGCCAATGATATCATATCATTGGCTGGTAGAAAACAGCAGCAAATTGAAACCACTCCTGATGAAAATGAAAGAAGAAAATATAAACACAGGACTGCAGCTGAAGATTAAGAAAACAAATATAATGTCTTACAGAATTGCAAAACTTTGTGAAAGATTTTGCATACCGTATCTCAGTCATCAGTTCAATGGAGACTGTAGCCAAGGAATTCCAAGACTAGAAGGGAAGCCTTGGCTGGCTGGCTTATATCCAATACTGAGACAGGGCAGCACTGAAGGAACTAGAAAAGATCAAGTGTAAGAACTTGGCTTTTAGTGGAGACCAAGGCCAAGATCATCCACACTACTATATTCCCTGTCACTTTGAATAGCTGTGAAAGCTGGACAATGAAGAAAGTTGACAAGAAAAAAAGGTTATGCATTCAAGACATGATGCTGGAGGAGGACTTTGCTAATATCCTGGACTGACAAAAAGGTGACCCCATGGGTCCTGGATCAAATCAAGTCAGAACTTCCCCTAGAAGCAAAAAATGACAAAACTGAAGCTGTTGTGGGCACCTTATGAGAAGACAAGACTCACTGGAGAAGACCATCATGCTGGGGAAAGTCAATGGCAGAAAAAGGAAAGGAACCTCCAATGAGATGTGCTGACTTTCAAAGGAAGCCACAGCCTTGAATTTTAAGGAGCTGAGCAGTGCTGTCCATCTTGGAGAGCAATCATTCAAAGGGTTACTGTAAGTCAGAGACAACATGAAAGCACATAACAATTGCTGCCAAGTTTTATTATTCCTATCTTATATGGTATTGTAGCCTTTAAATTGTATCTTATGATTTATTTTGAAATTTTGGTATTTTAATTGATGTACCTTGCCCAGAGGGCTTTGGCTACTGGGTGGTATAGAAATATATTAAAATTTTGAAAATCACTGTGATTACTCTTGGGTAAGTGTGTGCAGAATTGCAGTCTACAAATTTTATTTATAATTAAGGTGCAATCCTAAGCATGTTTTGTCAGAAATAAAAAGCCTACAGTTCCCAGCATGTCCCAACCAGATGGCTGGGAACTGAAGGCCCTTTTTGTATATAAACACGCTCTGGAATGTGTCCTTAATGTGGCAACCTGTGTGCGTGTGTGCGCATCTGCAGAGAGGGAGAGAGGAAAAGCTAACATTTCTGTGTTGTGCAGTGTATACACCAAGCCTTTACAGTTCCCTAGCTGTGCGGCAAAACAGACACGTGATGACCTACATTAATTCCTAAAAAGCAGCACTTTCGGTGTAAGAACTTCCAGAGCGGAAGCCTTGTTACGCGTGCTAGAACAAAAAAGTAACAAAGGTCTCGCAGCACCTTTAAAGGAACAGATTAATTACAGAAGGTGGTTTCCTGTCCTGGGGGCCTTCGAGCGCTGGCAGCCCTTTGGCTATTTCTAAGTGTTTTGGAGAGGTGGGGGGCGGCGGTGAACGTCAGAAGCTGTTTTCGGCCACTTCCTCCACGGCCACCCCTGGCAGGGCTCTTAAAAGACGGGACGAGGCGCACCCGGCTTCCCCAGGCCGGCTCGGAAATCGCGGGCCTCTGCCTGCCAGCAACCTGGGCCAGGCTCCCTCGCCGCCGCCTGCACCTTGGATGACTCCGCCCTGCGCTCAGCGCGACACCAAGTTCGAAGAGCCACCGCTGCCCTCGCCCCCCCCCCCGCCGGGCCCGCGGGGGGGGGGGGGCTCAACTGAGTGGTGCCTGAAAAGGAGCATTGTGCGAGGCCGAGGCCAGAAGGAGCAGGGGCGCCCTCGCTCGGCCTGCCGAGGAAGGGCGCTCTTGCGCCGGCCTGCCGCCGCTACTGCACTAAGCCGGGCACGGCGAGGCGGCCCCTCCCGCCTCGCCTGCCTGATGCTGCCAGTGCCTTCCATTTCCATAATCATGGCTCCTGGCTCCGCGGATGAGCCTGCCGCGCAAACTTTCCCGGACGGGCTCGGGCGAAGGCGCGCCTAGTGAGGGGGCAAGCAGGTACGCCACGGCGGCTTTCCTAAGGTTAAGGGTGGCGGTGATGGCGCGGGGGGGGGGGGGGAGACGCGGAGCCTGGGATCGGCCGATCGGTGCTGGCCGCAGCCGAGTTTGCGAACTGCAGTGGTGCTTGGCGTTCAGCGCGCCTCGCCGGGAGCGATTTCCCGAAGCTCTTTTTCCGCGGCGCGCTTTGCAAATGGTCGGCAAGAGACCGTCACCCAACAAGTCAAGGAATCAGTGCGGACACCGATTCGATCTGGGGTTGCTTGCACGACACCCACGAAAGCGGGGGCCCCGATTCGGACCTCCCCCAGTTTGTTTACTCGGTTCTGATCACCTTTGGGGTCAGCAGCCGCAAACAGCACCGCAGCTCAGGCGGCGCTGCCAATTGTGTGCGCGCGTTCGCGGGATTGAAAGGAATTTTCCATGCAACGGGAGGAGGAAGGAGCGGACGGGCACACGCACACAAAAAAGCACCCAAAACTTTCTCTCCTCTCGGCAGCCCCATGCCTCCCTCTCAGAGAACCTGCAGGTCCCCTTTGAACGGGCTCCACTTCTGCAGAGTTTACCACGGCTCCTTGAGGGAGCACCGCCGTCTTTCGCGTGCAAGAGCGGGAACTGGCTTTGCTTTCGTTCTGCTATTTTGTATGTGTTTGTTTCTCTTGCATGGGAGAAACAGGGTGAATTTGGGTTTCCTGTAAATTTCCCAAATGGAGGAGGGGACTGGATTGATGGGAGAGAGAAAAGGAAGGGGGAGGCGCAGGGGTGGGCGGCCAGAAAGGGAGCGGAGAAGAATGACATATTGTCTGGCGAGGGAGGGGTGGAAGGAGGCTGGCCTCCCTCTTCGCCCTGCTCGCCGCCGCCTCGCCATTGGAGCAGGCGCCGATGACGCGCGGAGCTGCTGCTGGCTATTTGAGGCGGCCGCGGTGGCGGCAGCAGGAGGAGGCGGCGGCGGCAGCAGGAGCAACCGCCAGAAGGGGAGACGGGCGAGGAGCGCAAACACGCGAGGAGCCGCACACGCGGACGGCCACGGGCTGCGAGCCCTGCATAGCCGCCGCTGCTGCTGCGACTTTCAAACGACGACGCGGCGGGGAGCAGCGGCGGCATCACCAGCGCGGCGCCCGCTGATGGAGCGCGCCGGGGACCGGCCTCCTCGAGCGCAAAAGCGGAGTCGCCTGCAGCTTGACAGCGGATTTTGATTTTATTTTTAGCAGGGCGATCAGGGGGAGGGGAAGAAACCCCCGCGTCCTCTGCCAAAACCGCGGTTGGATCATACGCCAGCCCTGTAACACCTCGTCGCCTTTGGGATTTTACAGACTCAGGTCTCCAAGGGACGGGCTGTCCTTTTCGTGGAGGAAATACTAAGCGCGGGTCTGCTGCTCTTGCTTCGCGGATGGTCCAACCTTCGTCCGGAAAATAAGGGAGGGGGACAGCCGAGTTTCCTGCTTCCATGCACCCTTCTCCAAGAAGGTTGGCATAAGTTCAGCGTCGCCGCAGGCACGGGAGTTGCTTTTGCCTCGCCGAGGAAGTTCGCTGCCTTGACAGCGATTGAGGCTTTACCGATTGAGCAGGGTCGCGGGGATCCCGCCTGCCACCCTGAAGCTGGGACACTTCCGCACCATCCTGGCCGTCGCGCTCTTCCCGGCCGCCAGGTGAGCGATGACTCATTCGGGCATCATCGCTGCGCCTCCGTCAGAAACAAAAAGCAAAAGGTGCTCCGGGTAGAGATCCTCCAACAACAAGCCGAACCAGCAGCCACTGTTTCTTTCTTGGCCCCGCAAAAGGGCACTTAAGGGGAAAAAAGTCCATTTTTGCAAGCGAGACTGTGCTCGTCGCCAGCCGAGGAGGGGGATCCCTCCCGCTGATGCCACTGGACCATGGTTGCTTCCATGGCCGGATCATGAAGTGTTTGACTTTCTTTCTTCTGCTTCCAGAGACCCTCAAGAAGTCCAAAAAGAGCGTCCGGGCCAACGGCAAGGGGCCAGCATGCTATGAGATAGTGCCCCTGGCCCTCAAGAAGAAGATGGCTGCGGAACTTTATCCTGCCAGCGCCAACACCAATCTCGCAAACAGCAATAACGCCGCCGCCGCCGCCAACAGCAAGAAAAACGCCCTTCAGCTCCAGCAGAGCGCGCAGCCCCCGCCGCCGCCGCCGCTGCAAAACCTCAACAACAACAACGTGGAGAGCGCCAACTGGCAGTCTTTCCACCCCACCCTGCGCGAGAGGTAAGCGCCTGCTCGGGCAACCCGCCCAGAGGAGAAGCTCCTGGGGCGACAGCAGCAGGAGGGAGGGCAGTGGAAAGGCAGGAAAAGGCAGCCGTTCTTCTTCGCTCCTCCAAGCGCGCGCCCGCCTCCCCCCAAGAGCAGAGAGGCGCCAGAGGCTGCAGGTTGCAGCACGCAGAACCTGGGTGTGAATTCTGCGTTGCCTCCCCGGAAGGGCCGCCAAAACGCCTCCTTTTGCAACGGGGGATAGGAGTGAGGGCCACCCGTTTGCACACATGGGAGTTGGGACGTTTCCAGTAATGGGGGGGGGGGGGAGTCCGTCTGCTCCTAGATTTGCTACCTATCCTCTATGGCAGCTACCAGCATGGGAAGGAGCCACTGCAGTCATGGTTGGAATGCTTCCAAGATTGGAAAGGGCACACTCAGCATTTGGAGGGGGGGGGAGAGACATAGAGCAACATGATGGCAGTCGCTGGGCTTCCTTGTTTTAATTGTGCCTCCTTTTCTGTAAACTTGCAGGAACGCACTCATGTTCAATAACGAACTTATGGCTGACGTGCATTTCATTGTGGGGCCCGTGGGGGCAGCCAAGAAAGTTCCTGCTCACAAGGTTTGTGGAATCATGGATTACAGTTTACAGCTGGCTATGCTTGTACCCTGCCCACTTTTCCAGCCTCCAATGTTTTCTTAAATGCAGCATAATCCAATGATATAATTGCATTCAGCGCAACAGTCTAAAATGAAAAGTTCAGAATACACTGCATTTCAGCTCAGTCAAGTAGTTACTGAATTGGGATGGGAATATTTTTTTGCCTGATGCATTGGAGAACTCTTATAGTAAATAAAATGAATTTGCACCTGTCTAAATCTTATAGCTAGAAGGAGAGGGGGTGGAAGAGAGAGAAGTCTACTAAAATTAGAAATATTTTTTCATTTTCTTTGCCTACCAGTATAGCTGACTTGGATTATTTTTGCTTCTTTAACACAGTATGTTTTGGCAGTTGGTAGTTCTGTCTTCTATGCTATGTTTTACGGAGATCTTGCAGAGGTCAAATCTGAAATCCATATTCCAGATGTGGAACCTGCAGCCTTCCTAATCCTATTAAAGTAAGTAGTAGTAAAGAAGCATCTTCTGTACATCATTTTTAAATGTTATTTAGAAACACAGAAGCATGTCTTTAAAGATGTTTAAAGATGCTGTTAAAACTGATAGCTTTGAAACTAAAGCAGCCTTGTGCTTTTCTTTTAAAAAAGGTTGTTTTTATATTGATAGGTACATGTATAGCGATGAAATCGACTTGGAAGCAGATACCGTACTTGCTACTTTATATGCGGCCAAGAAATATATTGTCCCAGCTTTAGCAAAAGCTTGCGTCAATTTTCTGGAGACTAGTTTAGAGGCCAAGAATGCTTGCGTTTTGCTGTCTCAGAGCAGACTCTTTGAAGAGCCAGAGCTGACGCAGCGCTGCTGGGAAGTCATTGATGCTCAAGCTGAAATGGCACTGAAATCAGAGGGCTTCTGCGAAATAGATCAACAGACGCTAGAGATCATTGTGACACGGGAAGCACTGAATACGAAGGAGGTCGTAGTGTTTGAGGCAGTTCTGAACTGGGCAGAGGCTGAATGCAAGAGACAAGGGCTGCCAATCATACCAAGGAACAAGCGGAATGTATTAGGAAAAGCTTTATACTTGGTACGGATTCCAACCATGACTTTGGAAGAGTTTGCTAACGGGGCAGCTCAATCTGATATCCTAACACTTGAGGAAAGGCATAACATTTTTTTGTGGTATACTGCTGCAAATAAGCCTAAATTAGAATTTCCACTGACAAAGAGGAAAGGACTTGTACCTCAACGGTGCCATCGATTTCAGTCCTCTGCATATCGTAGCAATCAGTGGAGGTACCGAGGCCGGTGTGACAGCATCCAGTTTGCTGTAGATAAAAGGATATTTATAGCTGGACTGGGATTATATGGGTCAAGTTGTGGAAAAGCCGAATACAGTGTCAAAATTGAACTGAAGCGACTAGGAGTTGTTCTTGCCCAGAACCTGACCAAGTTTACCTCTGATGGATCTAGTAACACTTTCTCAGTATGGTTTGAGCATCCCGTGCAGGTTGAGCAAGACACTTTTTACAACGTAAGCGCCATCTTGGATGGCAATGAACTCAGTTATTTTGGACAAGAGGGGATGACTGAAGTACAGTGTGGGAAAGTGACGTTCCAGTTCCAGTGTTCCTCAGACAGCACCAACGGCACAGGAGTACAAGGAGGACAAATACCTGAACTAATTTTCTATGCATGATGCATTTCACTTAGATTGTATTTCAGGACGGCTTTACACATTGAGGGATGGTATTGACTTGACTGAAAAGTCAGAGTGCTAAAAATGTTATGCTACTTACCTATCTACTTACCTTACCATCAGGCTATCCAACTAAGTGAAGGAATGCTCTTGAGTTTAATCTTATTTTATTTATTCATAAACTATTTCACTTAATTATTAAACTGCAACATGCAGAAGTTGGGAGGGAATGTTTAAAATTTTTTGCACATGATGTGCATTTATTTTGTATATAGATAACTAACTTGCAGACTGCAGCTGACTCAAACAGAATGTTCTAAAGTAGAGCGGTTTGAGATCTGTTGAATATAAAACATTTTTACTTGTCCTAAATACCTGTGTGCTTGGCTGATTACAGATCTTCTATCACCTGTTTTTACATTATGTTTGCAGAAACTCTGACACCTGGATGGTTCTGTTTTGTTTTTGGTAAAGGCCAACCTAAGGCTATACTTCCACACCCACTGACATACCCTTGAGTTCTCTAGGAATGTAAGATTTAGGCCTGTATAACTGAGTGCAAGATTACACCGCAAAGGGAAAAAAACACTTCTTCCTTACCTCTTCCTCCATTGGCATTGCCAGCCTTCATCGTGTTGTGTCCACTACAAAATAAAATTTTCTTGAGGTGGGAGTGTGCAAACTTAAGATGCACAGAACTTTTCAGAGGTGTCTAACTAAAATGTCTGAACTCTGAAAGAACTCTGTGGATCCCTTTTAGGCTCCTCTACCAACAATATAAATAGCCCAAAATATATTTAATATCTCAATCCTATAAAGTAAGGGTAGGCGACTCCATGCCCTCCAGATGTTTTGGGCTACAACACCATTATCTCTGACCATTGGCCATACTGGTTGGGACTAAGGGAAGTTGTTATTTGCCGCACCTTATATTAATTTTTTTGCTTTTTTAAAATGTAATGACGTGTACACTGTCTTTCCCAAGAGCAAGGCACTTCTGAACACAGCAGGATTATTTATGAATAAACAAACACACACTTGTTAATGTAGGTAGAACTTAAATGCAGTTAACTTACATTTTAGTTAAGAAGACTGACCAAAACTGTTCCTCATTTGATACGGAGTTTACAAAACACTAACCCCCAGACAGGTGCTGTCAGCTAATCAATTGAATATATACCTCTAGAGAAGGCCTAAACTGACAGGCAAGAAATTGAAATGATACCTCTCTATTTTACAATCACTGGAAAACAGAAAGTTGGGTAACTCAGTGGCTCCATCTTTTCATTCATGTAAACTGACTTGGAACAATTAAGGGATATGTATCTCTTTTTTTCTGAATTGCCTTGACAACCATAATACCCTTAATCTAAATAATTCTACATCTTAAATATTTGCCATCACTGAAAGGTTTTCAGAATAGGATGTGCTAAAAACTTTAGCAAGGTGCATTGAATTATTACACTAATACACTTAATGTGTACGTCAGCTAGGAAAGCAGTACCAGACATCTAAAGAACGTCACAGCAAGTTCTGAATATTTTGTGATGTGGCACAGCAGATAGCTGTTGAAGAAAAGTTGTAGTTGATCTGAGCAAAGTAACTATTGGAAACATGGGTACCATTTTTGCCAATTCTGACAAACCATATTTCAGTCCATGATCACCGTGAATAAGAGGACAAAAGCAAGTAGCTGAACACCTTTTGAAATCATTTGTTATTGTGCTGAACAATTCTTGTGTGTAAGATAAATACAATGCTATAGTGATACTATATCAGTAATGCAGCATTCCTGCCCAGTCTCAAAAACACAACAAAGCAAAATGTCGGTATGTTTTTAAAGGTTGTACTGCTATAGTGCCATTTAAGTCAACCAGATGGAGAACATGAGCTAATTTTTCAATTGTATCTGAAATAAATTGGGTATTTGATGATACCAAAAACATAATAGCCTAAAAATAATAATAATAAGCTGGCTTTTGGACTTCACTGGTTCAGATCCCGCCTCTCGCCAGCCTGTCCTAGGCCAGGGGCTTGTAACTTGTGGCCCACCAATGATTTGGCCCTCACAATGCCCCTCCCTGCCTTAGGCATACCAGTCTCTCCTCTGCACCTCTAGCTGTAGTTTATCTGGGACTAATACCGGCCTACTTTAAGGGGTTGTTGTAAGTTTACTCATATAATGTATGTGAACTAGTTTGGAAATTAAACTGTTATATAAAAGTATTATTCAATAGATGTCAAAATGAGTTATTATCAGACTTGTTTTAGACACTTAGAGAAGTGCCTTGATTAAAGTTGACTGACTTGCTTGTAAAAAGTAAATGCAGATAAATTTTGCTCATTAGCCAAAAGGTGTATGGCGATTTATCCAAAGTAACAAGCACATCTGTATAGGGAGTTAGTACTACTGATGCTATGACACCAATAAAAAGCATTGCTGACTGAGTATATAATGCTGTTCCCTTAGTAGTGGTAGCGGATACACACCTTTGGTCATGGAAACTGCTAGGTATGCAAAGCACAACAACCCACATGAAGAATGATTATGGGTTGCTGCTGAACTGTGGGTTGTTGCACTGTGTGAAACCAAGCACACAAAAAACATGCTTTGTTAACCATGAATAACTCACAGTTCACAAACCATCAGTTCTCTGTCATTAACAAACCATGGTTTGTTAGCATGGCATGGGTCATAAAACACACCAACCAATGGGTCAACAACCTTGAGGGTGGATTGTTTTGTATAAGCCCAGCTGCTTTGCCCTTCAAAAGCCATACCCACTGTAGCATTTACGCAAGAAAACAGTTAACAAAGAGTTAAATGGTAACGCTGGTACATCACCATTGTTATCCGTACAACTACTGTCAACAAGTGGCATCCATGAAGTGTTGTCGCTGGCAAGGTTTGCTTTAAGGCTGTAGATGAAGGACTGCCCCTTTAAGCGGTGAGCATCAAACCAAACAAAAATACTGAGTTAAATCTAAAGTAAAACTCCTCTTTTAAAAATGTTTCAACTTTGTATGATTTCAAAACAAGCTGCTTATTCACTTATCCTTATCCACCTGGCACTGGCAGGGTACAGGATGAGATTCCTTACATGGAAAGGATCAGGGGATGCTTATGTACAGCAGTGCTGTGAGGCCAAGCAAAGTTCTCACTTCGGTGGCTCAGTTGCCAAAACCCCCGAACACTTGTCAAGGTGGCAACTGCTGGTTACTACTGCTAGACATTCTCACTACTAGTAATACTTGTTACTAAATTTCAGTACAACTTGAATACCTTAAACCGAGGTTTTCACTGATGCAAAGCTGATACCAAAATAATGGTAATTGGAAGAGGAAGCCTTATCTCGCTTAAAATAGTAATAAACTGTTGTAAGATTTTCTGTCTGAAAATTACCTCTGTGCTTTAGTAGGAAGCTTTCATTTCTGGACTCCTGGTAATTTTGAAATACCTTTTAAATCATGATAAACTGCATTATGTAAATGTTTTATCTTTGAGAACTACCATGAAATCATGGCACAAGTATACCCACGTACCGAAAGCCAACTCTTATTTAAAAATACCTATAGCTGGAGCATTTATGCAGAGCTCTCTGGCCAAAAGAAGGAAAGTTTTTCCCAGCACGTAGACATTCACCTGTACAAGAGGGAAAGAAGATATTTTGAATTCAAAAAGGTATTCTGAACATTTTGAGCAACAAAACACAAACATCTCTGCATACAGATGCAACAGTATCCTGAAAATGCTAATCTTGCTTTTAAGCATTCAAACATGTGAAGTTCAATAAAATTAATCCTCTGTTACATCCAGTTATGATATTCCTGTCTACTAGACCAGAGAAATCAAGGTAGGCTGCACCTAATGACTGGACTACCAGAAAGTATTTGTGTTCACATAATGCTAGACAATGAATATTCGGAGATCCTGCATACCCCACAAACTGCAGCTTGGTAATAGAAGAGGCCTGGTGTTTTTGTCTCATGGCCATTATTCATACAAATCTTTGCAATACATTTTATTTTGTAAATGACTGGCAAATGTATTGCAAAGTGACTGGCAAATGTAAAAAACTTCAGGTTTTTAGTTTTGCTTTCTTGCTTGGCTAACCGATAGTTCTAAATCCTAAACCTTCATTTGTAGAAAGCTGACCTGCAACCTGGGTGTCATCTGAAAAGTCAAACGAATATCTTTGTCGGTGCTAAACACCACAGCTGCCTTCTCTGCCATGAAATCTATCAGTTTTTTCTATCCAGGGGAAAGGAACATGCACAGATCTCAAAATTCCTGCCTACTAGTTCCAGGGTTGTTTTACTCTAGATCCAGTGAAACAAAAGAAGCCTCTCAGGGCCACTACCAACCAAAGAAGAAAAGGGGGAGGAGACGAGTGGGATCAGGACATAATGGATCAGGATCCCAGTGATGAGGCACCAGCATAAGGAATGCTTGCTTACTTTTCTGGAAAACCAGTAAAAGCAAATTTGTCAAAACACTTTGCCTCAAACACTACAATGCATTCAGCATCTTCCCCAACCTTCTCAATACAAAATTGTGAGGCATTATGGCCTTGAATATACATATCCATTTACAATCAGATAGTTCACTCTTAAAGACTGAGATCATATTACATAATGAATTTTTAATTTTCCATCACCCAGCCAGCAATAGCTGGTGTTTGAACTAGGAAAACAGACTTGGATCCTGAATATGTACTTCAAACATCATGTTGCTATCACAAAATATTCAAGGAAGACATTGGGTAGACCAGAACATGATTTCGACTAACCATTGTTCAGAATCCAAAAAATGGCTTGAATTTTCCTACCTATAGGCAAACCTTAATTTAGATCTCTAAGTCTGCTTTTGCATTCCATCTGCTCAACACTCTTGATTTCTATAGTGTAGGGATTCCTAGAGGCAGAACAATAGCTAGCACTACTTCATCAATTTAGTTATCACACAAATCATACACAGCACAAACCATGATATTCAAATTGTGATTTCAGTTTCTGGCTTAAGCTTCAACCATAGGTTCCGAAAGACAGAGCAAAACAAAGCATAATTAAATGTATTTCACCATACTTTGGTGCGATTTCTAAATAGAGCCATTGTGCTGCAGACACTGCTATATAGACAGGTTAAGTCTCACTTTACAGAGTTAAAGGTTTTGAGAAGATTACTATTGCAAGCATTTTACCAGCCAGCTGAGCTCCCGAAATAGCTTACATAGAATCAATAAAGCAAGACAAGCCCTGTCTGCAAGCTTACCATCCAACAGACAAGACATAAAAGAAAAAAATGGATGGGAAAGGAAGAGAGGGGGGAAGAAGCAAATTCTTCAATTATTAAGTAAAATGGCAGCTCTCCTAATGTCCTTCTAGAAACAGTTGGGGGACAGAAGGGGCCTCAGTGGAGCTGGTCATGCCGCAGGATGGGACGCACGCAGGCCTGCTTAAAAGCTGTGCCCTGTTTGCAGAGAGGCAGGGTAAAGGCACAGATGCCGTGGCCCTTCCTCCCCCGTCTCCTTCCCTGCTCTGAAAACAGTCTTCCATATTCAGGGCTGCAGCCTGCGCAGAAGGAACTGGGTGAGCTGCAGGGGCAGAGGGAGGGGCTGCCAAAGGAGGTGTCCCTGCGGCAACACCAGAGGGCTCTCCTGAGGGCACAGCAGGGACCCTAACTTCTCCTACACAGTATAATCACCTTATTCTAGCTCAGATGCTTTGTCCCTTGCACCCAATATTGCCTGCTCTGACTGGCAACAGCTCCCTGGGGTCTCAGGCAGAGGCCCTCTCCATCAGCTGACACCTGACCCTCTTAGCTGGAGATGCCAGCAGTGGCGCCCAGAACCTTCCTCATGAAAATGATGTCTCCTGCCACCGAGTGATGGCCACTCGATATATATTACAGTAGTGGAAACAATGCCTTTATCTTAACACATCCAACTCTTAAGAACCCATTATTCTTCCCCTCTTCACTGTACACCCAAGACCAATGCAGACAGCATCTCTGTGCAAACACTTGATCTCAAGGACCTGCGCAAGAGGCAACTTCTACTTGCAGTTCTTATGTATGATTTCCCAGTGTTTGGTTTCACCATCGATTGAGAGAGGAAGAGTCTGCACGTACTGCACAGTACTCCACCGCTCGGCTGGGTTTTTCCATAAGCTCTCATACATGTTTAATGCCAGTGCAGAGACTCATACAAGAAGCCAGCAGTAAGAAATTGGCTTAGACGCCCTTGGGAAGTAAGTCTTACCAGGCCAGCCCTGTGATTATTCAGGCTAATGCAGCCACATCACGCAGAGAAGCAGGAAGACAGGGGAACTGGGCCGCTCTCCTTGCCTTCCACCCTTGCCGGGGGGGGGGGGGGCAGGAGCCACTGCCTCCCTGCCAATTCCAGCAAGTGTTCTGAAAAACCCCTCTGGAATGCTGGGAGTTGTGGCACATAAGGCTGTGCTACAACAGACCAAGCTGTAAAGCTTGGATCACCTTTACCACAAACTCCCTTACTTGGCCTCAACGTCAGGGTTTGAGTGGCCTTGGGAACTAAGCCAACATTTATGTATCATCACTAGGATCTTTTCCTTCCTTCTCCCTGACTTTGTGCCATGCCTACAGGCATCCACACCCACCCTCAAGTTTGGAGATGAGGATGGGGTAGGAGGAAACCTAAACTGCATGGATGATCCCCACCCCACTCCCGTCACATGCCAAACTTGCCTATGGAGCCAGACAAAACAGGTGGGTCATGTTTTGGTGCTGACCGGGGGGGATGCTCCAAGTACCCCCTATACTCTGCACCTGAACAATCTGTCCCACCTCAGAGCTGCAGGGGAGCTGAGATCTTCCCTACGGCTGTACTGAACTGCAGGGAGAATGCCTGCTGGCTCACCAGCACCAAGGCTGGGGCTCCCCACACACTCACCAAAGTGCTAGAGACGGGCCAGGGCAGCAAGTGGGACTGTGGACTCATGTCTGGGATAACTGGGACCTACCTTACAGGATTGCTCTAAGCATAACTTGGCATGAATGAAGCATTTTGAATACTCAAGAAAGAGAGCAAAATACTAAATGTTATTCTGGGCAGCAAACTCAGTTGAGTTTATCCAACATACTGTATAGCCTATAGCCAATAGTTTCAAAGATCAAGCTGTATTTATTCCAAAGTTATTTGATTCCCAAATGGCATGAAGCCAATCACAGCAATGCTAATTGGTCAGGATATTAAAGACTGCCATGAGCCGCTAAGTCAGTGGGCAGATTTTTTTTTTCTTCAGGGGAGGGAGTCATAAAACTTTATTACTATGCTTCATAATGAGCACATTCAAGAGAAGCAATTCCACTCACAAGGGATATCTAAGGTGCTCAAATAACTGGACATCTTATTAGGTTACTAGCTGTTCAGCACTCACTGCAACTATAAGATTTGGAGTTCCATCCTGGAGACTACAAACAAAACATTTTGGGCAGGAAATAGTTATTAGAGGGTGACAACCGGCCAAGGTTTTTTCAAGGAGGCATTTCAAAATCCAGTGAGACTATCTTCCTTTACTATCAGTTAAGTCTTTTGAATTATTTCTTTAACACCATGAGCATTATCTGCTCAAGTCAAGCAGCTCCCCAGACAACTTCTCCAAAGACTGGGGGTTGCCTTTGTGAGGAAATCATCCCTGAGAATTAGAACAGTTCATGTGCTCCACATTCAGAGTCCCAAGCTTCAGAATGTCCTACTTCCTCCCATTCTACCTTTTCAGCTGCCAATTTAGAGGAGAGTTTCTGCACAATGCAACTATTTTTTAACCTTCAATTCATGACTTTATGGGTGTGTTTTTCCTGCCACATGTTATCTGCAAGCCTGTGCCTGCAAAAAGCCACAACACATCTAGTCTTTCTTCCTCTGCACAGGGAAGGCAAGCCGGAATACCAAGAAATAAGCATCAAAGTTTGCAGATCTAAATTACCTTAAGAATTGATGAGAGGGTGGGGGCAGGAAGACAAACAATGCACACCTATACATTCATAAAGCGGCTTGATATCATTTACAGACTCTCTCACTGAACACTGCAGCAACATGACTAAGGGCATCAATGGCTAGTCATCAGAATGGCTAAATATTACCTCCATTATAATTATCTAAGGTCGCACACCCCTGTATACTGAGTAAAGCAAGCAAGAAGCAGCAGTTGCTTCTGCCAACTCGAAGACGACACAGCAGGGCAAGACAGACCCTTAGTCTGATCCTGCACGACCTTCCTATGTACTTACAGCAGCTCCAGCTCTTGCACTCTTGCGTTAAAATGCCTGCAGTTCATTGTCTTAGGATGCAGCTGCTCGGAGGACCCCTGCTGTTTCCAGCAGCCATCCCCACCCACACCTAAAATTCAGCATAATGCCAGAGGGTTATACGTGGCTATACATTTGATTATGACATTATCTCACACACACACAGGCTACCCCTCCCTGAGGAGTCCTTCCTCCACTTCCTTCTCCTCACTGAAGTTGGTGTCCATTCACTTGCCCAGTGCCCCTCCAGTCCCATCTGAAAGCAACTTCTCATCACCCGGATACTCAGGGGCACAAGGACCGGTCCACATGCAGAAGGTCCCGGACCTCAATCCCTGATGTGCACTGCCTGGCAGGTTG